ACGAAGCGTGTGAGGGGTGTGCCGAAGTCAAACGGGACCACCATGCGAACGTCGCCACTGGGGCCTTCGGTGGAACTCCAGTTGGGGCCATGAAGCGTGTGAGAGGTGTGCCAAAAAGGGCGGGAAGGGGGGGCGCATGCGAACGTCGCCACTGGGACTTTCGGCGGGGCTCCCTGTGGGGCCGCGAAGCGCTGTACTGGGCGGAGCGGGCGCGTGAAAACGTCGCCACTGGGGCTTTCGGTGGAACTCCGTATGGGCCACGAAAGGCTGCGCTAGCTGCGGGGGGCGCGTGCGATTGTCGCCGCTGGGGCGTTCGGTCGACCTCCCTATGAGGCCACGAAGCGCTGTGCTGTGTGGGGCGGGCGCTTGCGAACGTCACCGCTGGGGCCTTCGGTGCAACTCTTTAGGGGGCCACGTAATATTTTCTGGGTGCGCCAAAATGCGAGGGGATTCATGCGAACGTCGCAACCTGCGCCTTCGGTGGGGCTCCTTATTGGGCCACGAAGCCGTGCGAGGAGTTTTGCCGGAAAGGGCGGGGGGCGCCGCGTGCGAACGTCGACGCTGGGGCCTTCGGTGGGGCCCCCCATGGGGCCACGAGTGGACGCATGCGAACGTCGCCCCTAGGAGGGTTCGGTGGGACTCCGCACGGGGCCGCGAAATGCCGTGCTGGGTGGGCCGGACACATGCGAACGTCGCTGCTGGGGCCTTTTGTAAACCTTCCTATGGAGCGCCACGAAACGCTGTTGCTGCCCTCGTCCTCCGCGGGGGTGCCCGCGCTCATGGCGTCGTCGGGCGCGTTGCCAGCGCAGTCCAACAGGTCGATAATCAAGTGCTCCTTCTCGTCGCGCTCAGATGTCATCCAGCCTTTCTCGGGGTGGCCCTTCAGCGTGAACTTGCCCCCGCGATAGTCCTGGACCAGCCCCCGCTCCTCCATGCACGGCCTCGCGACGCGGGCCGGCGTCCGCCCAGGCACCAGGTGGATGGTGATCTCTTTCATCGCGCCGAAGGGCCAGACGGTGAGCGTGACCTCCTGCTTGGCATCTAGCGTCTTACCTTCGCCGAACCTAAACCTGCGGTCGCTGCTCTCGTACTTTACGTCGTGGATGAGCTGCTTGGCTCGCAGGTGCCCCTCCCGCTGTCGCCAATTCTGATCGCCCTTGACAGGTCGAGTAGATCCTCCATCGCTGATGCCCTTGCCGACCGCGACCAAGTTCACCTCCTCGATGGCAATGGCAAACACGAGGTCCTCAGCGTCCGCGGCGTCGCTCGCGACTACCATGCGCGACTCCTCATTTTGTTCACGTGGCCTCCAGCTCGAAATCGCTTGAATCGAGGTCCGCGCTGCTGAGTCGATCCCGACGCGCTCGACCTCGGAGGCGTAGGCGGCGGGGCCGATGTAGGCGAACGCGGAGACGCCTGGCCTCCGCGAGGAGGGAAGCGCGGCGGCCCCTTGCCCTTGCCTCTGCCCCGTCCTTTGCCCTTGCCCTTGCCGCCGCCCTTGGGCGTCGACCGCGGCTCGCGCGTGAAGTTGTTGTCAAGGGCTAGGGCAACGATCGGGCAAAAGCCTCTGGGATTGGCGATCTCGGCCACCCTTTCTTGCTCTCGATGAAGCTGACGTGCCCTCGTCGCAGGCGACCTGCGCTCCCTCGATCTCTGGCGGCACGGCCTCAGCCCCATCGGCGTCGTCCTGCTCGTGCCCGTGGCCGTCGTCATCCTCGTAGTAGGGGTCGTAGTCGCCCTCCTCCTCAAAGCAACCGTCCTCGCCCAGGTACGAGTCCTCGAAGGCGAGACCTCTCTCCCACTCGTAATCGTTCGTGTAATTCACTCACGTCCGCGGTGGCGCTGCTTCCTGCGAGCATCCGCTCGGTCCTCCTCACAACGGGCTTGTCAGGCGTAGCCTCCGCTCCGTACGTGTCGAGCAGCACCTTGCGAACCTTCAGCCAGCTGACTGAGACCATCTCCGCACTGGCTGCGCACCTGAGCGGCTCCGTTCGGTGGCATCGCGGCTCGATTGACGAGGTGCCAGCCAGCCAGCATGTCAGGAATCTCCTTTCCGACCTCGTTCAGCTTGCGGAGCTCCTGCTGGTGGCGTAAGCAATGCAGCTTCAGCGTCTCTTTCTCCTGTCGTGCAAACTCGCCGAAGAGGGTGTCCGTTCTGGCCAGCAGCTCGGTCTGATTATCGTACTTGTAGTACTCGTCCAGCACCTTGATGATGGGCTGGAACGCATCTGCTGTCTCTAGCAAGTCCAGGTCGATATCTTCCGTAGCTTCTGCTGCCTCGCCCTGCAACGAGTTGGTGATGGCGTTGAGACCTCTCTTGCGACAACACCTCTCGAAGACCTGGAGCTTGCGGCGGAAAGCTCTGCAACCCTCGCTGCGCAACAGCTCGAAACTGGGCGCAGTCTTGCTCAGGCCTGTGTCACGGCTTCTTCCCCCGTCCCAGCCGTTCTCGTTGTTGGTCCACCAACCGCCGCCCCTCCAGCGGTTCCAACTGTCGTCCTCTTCCTCTAGCGTGGCGGCGTAGTCGGCCTCGTCCACGCTGCTGGGGATCCGTGTCCCGTCCGCCGCCTGGGCCCGCGAACTGGCCGCGGCGGTTGGGGCAGCTGCGGCAGCCCCTGGTGCGGATCTCGCACCCGTTCTCCTCGTCGGTGGTGTCGCTGGCGGCGAGGTCGGCGGCGCGGCGCCCGGCGCCAGCGGCGTGACTGGAAGCGGGGGAGCAGATGGGGCGGACCACCTGCTCCGCTACCACTATCAACCGATGGAAACACACGAAGTCCTTCACGGGCTCTCTTGAGAAGACTGTCTGAAGTATCTCGGGCTGTTTGTGGATAGCGTCGTAGTGACGAAGAATGTGAGACGCAACCTTTTGCGTGACTCAGGGGCCCTCGATTAAGAAACAGCGTCGGTTCACAACAATGAAACGCACTGCTTGCCATGCTGCTGCAAACCACTGTGCTAAGAGACGCATGACATGACAAGAAATTTCAACAGGAAAGGTTCAAATTGACGCTTGGAACCCTCTGGGGCCATCTCGACGTCCCCCCTTGGAGCCCTGAGCCGGTCTGCCCCCCCCTGCTGGAGCCGACCTGGCCCCCACTGTTCCTGCAGCGCGCGCCTTCCCTTCGCCCCTCTCCCCCCCCCCGCCCCCTCCCCGCCTGGCAGGTGCTCTCCTGGGTCGCGGTAGGCCTCACTGAAAGCCCTCCTTGGGCTATCTCGGGCGCTGGCTGGGTCCTTCTGGGCCAGTTTGGGGGGGCCATCCGGGTCATTCCGGGATGTCCTGGGAGCCTGGGCCTTCCTGGTGTTATCTTGGGCCGTCCTGGCCCTCTTCTGCGGCCGTCTTGGGCTAAGTGCACCTTAAGAGTCTGAGAGCCCTCCTGAGCCGTTTTGGCTGGCTGCCAGGGTCATCCTGGATTGCCTTGGAACCGTCTGAAGACCTCTTGATATCAGATCTCGGGTGGGGGCCCGGAGCCGAGCTGCCCTCACTGCTGGAGCCGGGGCCAGCACAATCTCGCGACAGACTGCAACTCAAAGATGAGGCCCTATCTTTGGGCCCCGATCCGCGTTGCACTCCCGGCAGGAGCCCGTGCCCACCAGGCGAGATCCCCAGATCACGCGAAACGAACATGCCCATCAAAAATGATCACGTTCAACAAAAATTGTCCAGATCGCGCTAAACGAGAATGGCACCCAACACGGATCATGCTGACTGCCAGATCACGCTATACAGAATTCGGCTTAGCGTGTCCTCCACTCCCTGACCACACACGCTAAACGAACCGACCTGACCGTATGCCCGACGAGTTTGGACGCCCGAAATGGGTACGGAAAGAATGGGCACTATGCCCAACAACAAATGTTGTCCCAAGCCAACAGCGGCCGCTGTTGGGCAGGCGGCCCTCTGTCTCGAATGGACACAGGCCGCGGCGGCGTGGACAGCGAATCCTGTCCAAAATGAACAGGAACTGTTGTTGGGCATTGTACCCATTCTTTCAGTACCCATTTCGGGCGTCCAGAACGAGCGCGGGGAGGATGAAAGACTTGGCTTCGTACGTGGCCGGGGTGCGATCGATCCACGCCTCCCTCCAGGGGGGGTGACAGACGCAACCTCCTGGAGGTCCCCTTGTCCAGGGCGGCGCCGCGAGCGCGCGCCCCCTCCCCCTTGGGGCAGTGCTTCGTCTTGGACCTGGAGGAGGAGGAGGAGGAGGAGGAGGAGGAGGAGGAGGAGGAGGAGGAGGAACAGGAGAAGGGGAGGAGGGAGGAGGAGGAGGAGGAGAGGAGGAGGAGGAGGAGGAGGAGAAGGAGGAGGAGGAGGAGGAGGCGGAGGACCCCCCAAGACAGACGCAACCTCCTTCGCGCTGCGCTGCTGTGCTGGCGCGGCGGCGGGTTCTGCCTCAGGCAGCTGGACAGCGCAGGTTTTCGAAAGGGCAAGACGAGGGGGGCGGCCTCCGGGAGAACCGCTCTCTCTCTCTCTCGAGGCACAGGCCCCGCATGAACGCAAAAGGAGGAGAGGAGGAGGAGGAGGAGGAGGAGGAGGAGGAGGAAAAGGAGGAGGAGGAGGAACAGGAGGAGGAGGAGGAGGAGGATGAGGAGGAGGGGAAGGAGTGGGAGGAGGAGAACGGGGGGGCGGAGGAGGGGGAGGAGGAGGAGGAGAAGAGGAGGAGGGGGAGGAGGAGGAGGAGGAGGAGGGGCAACTGATCAACGCAAGACCGCCAGGCTCCAGCACGTCGGGAGAAGAAGAGGAGGGCGATGTCGATGGAGACGGGGATGTATCGTATTGCCCCGTCTGCCACCAACGGTCCCTGGGCTGGCTGGCTTCATCGAGCGTGCGGCCGATGGTGTGTGACACCGTTAAGGCGGATAAGGAGGCAAACCGAGGAGGATGAGGAAAGAGGGGGATGAGGAGGAGGTGTTGGGGGAGGAGAAAGGAGAACGAGGAAGAGGACGAGCGGTCACGAAAGAGAAACGGCGACGACGGAATACGATGAATACGAGGCCGTCTCCTGGGTCACGCCCCAGCCCTGGGAGATGTAGCACACTATCGTGTAGCAGAAGCCCGTCTTCAGGACCGAGGCGAGGTTGGCGCCGCACATCATCCAGGGCGCGAAGCTTCCTGAAGCGACGACGTCGAAGGCCACGGCGGGCGATGACGACGACGAACTCGGCGACGGGGACAAAGAGGAGAAAAGGGGGGGAGTGCGGAGGGAGGGAAGGATATAAACGGAGGAAGGAGAGAGGATGAGGAAGGAAAGCGGATGAGGGAGAGACGGGGAAGGATGATAATGGGAAAGAAAAGAAATATGATGGGTGTGGGGTGGAGGAGGTGGATGAAGCGGGAACGGGTGAGAAAACGACATGCCAGATTGGTTGGGCTGTTTGGCAACATGTAGGGTTGATTCGCCGACTGGGGCGGCAGGAGCGAGATCCGAGGAGGATGCCAGGTGGAAGAGAAGAATTAACAGTGCATCTCGTCGAGCCCCTCTGCAGCCGAATTCATCCAGCTCTGCCAATGCCGACAAATCCGAGCACGACGTCGTGCCGCACGGCGCCCAGAAGGCTGAACATCCAAACAATCTTCTCGGGGGAACGGAGGCACCATCGGCAGAATCTCTCGCGCCACTGGCTTGCCCTGGTTTCGTCGACTGGACGGGCAGTTCACCGCCTGCTCACTCAGCTCTCGCCGGCCCCCGCACCGGCCCCGCGCGCGGCCTCCCTGTGGGCCTTGGCGGCAGCTCCCACGGCAGCCTTGTTAGCGCGTTGCTGCCCTTGCCGCCCTCCGGGCCCGGGAGGGGCCGCGGCATCGGTCAGCGGCGGCGCCCGCTGCAGGTGGGAGGCCTGGCTGGCCACCAAGCGCCTCTCCTCGTTCAGCTTCCTGGACTCCTTCGCGAATGCCGACTCGCGGTGGAGCTTCGACGCCACGAACTCCTCGAACAGCGAGCAGAGCATCGAATGGCTCCGCGTCTCGCCGACCCCGAGATACAAGAACTCGCCCTGCAGGGTGGAGCCCACCTGCCCGTCAGTCTTGAGAAGCCTCTGCTTGTAGCGATGCTCGGCTCATTGGGCACGGCGCAGCAGCAGCCCGATGAAGGGAAACTCTGGTGCGCTAACTTGATCATATGTCAAGTCGTATCTACTCAGTAGAGACGATTTTATGATCCGACACACCAAAGACCGCGATTGACAATCCGCGTGTCGATTTCCACCAAGATTGTCGAGCACGAGGGCGACCGTTGGGTAACATGGAATGCAAGCGCCACTTGGCTGGTCTCGGTCCGGTCAGAGTGTCGGTCCCGTGACCCTGATCGTAACTCCGCCTCCTTCCCCTCCAAGTCCTCCCAAAACTGCTCCAGCATGGCCCAGCTAGGTCAATGCTATTACCACTCAGTGCGCTCCCCCCCTCCGTCTCCTCCCTCCTGCACCCCCAACCGCCCGCTCCACGCCGACAACCTCGAGTACGCCTGAGAGGACGACGCCCACAATGACCTCGGCCTCGTCCTCCTCCTTCTCCTCCTCGTCTGCCTCCTCGCTCTCCGCCCCCAGTGATGATGGTGACGGCCATCACCACCGCCATCATCACCACCATCGTCATCCCCCTCCCTGTTTGCTCCTGCTTCCGACGGCGGCGGCGGTGACAAGGACGCCGACGCCGACGACGCCCACAACCCGATAATGCCAAATGTGTCCCTGGCCGCGGCCCGAAATGTCCGCAGAATTTCCCGGGATGCCCAGCTGGCCCGTTGCGAAACACTAGTGACACCTTGGCCACCGCGACGACGACGGCGGCGTCGGCGGCCGTGCCGCCTTCGAAGTTCCACGAGGTCAGCAGCATCCGCTGCAAGAGCGCCTCAGCCACCGCGCACGCCAGCACCACCTCGGGGTCGGGCCAGCGGCGGGGCTCACGACGACCGACGCCCTCGGACGACGGCACCCGACGAGGACGAAGACGGTGCCCTGCGACGACGGAAACGCCAGCAGGCGACGCCCGCCGAGGTCCGCCGAGGCGCGGCGACGCCGCGCGCGCGCGCCGTGGCGCAGCCGCGGCCGCTGGGGGCGCCGCGGTGATGCAGTGGTGGATGGCGTGGACGTGGGCGCGCCATCTGCGGGGGCGACCGGCGGGATCGTCGCGGAGCTCGGCGAGGGGGAAGGGCGCCAGCTGCACGGCCCGACGAAGCCCAGGGTGGTCCCAGGAGGGCCTCCAAGGTGCCCAAGTGGGCCCCAAGATGGCCCCTGGAGGCGCCCAAGAGGCCCCAAGCGGTCCCGAGGCCTCCCAGAGGCCCCAAGACGGCTCAGGAGGGCCCCCGAGAAAGACCCAGGAGAAGGCACTCGCACTGACACTTCGGACGCTTCGCCCGAAAGAGGCCCCCCGAGGCCGCCAGCAGGCCCCCCAAGAAACCCACAGGAGGCCCCAAGAAGCCCCCCAGAGTGCCCCCAACGACGGCCTCCAGAGGGCCCCCGGACACCTGCACCGATCCTGGCCAGGCCTACAGTCGGGGCGTTGACCTAAGGAACCCTAGATAAGGAACGAGGCCCCTTTTTTCCATAAGTTAAACTTCGATTTCCTATCGGATACATAAGGGAAACCTGAGGCAAGCTGTGAAACAATCCAGGAACACGGAGCCCCTCCCCAACGAAAAGGGTTCCTTCTTCAGGGCCCCGACTGTATTCCGGGCCCCAGGACACAGGATCGGCCTGGCCAGGCTCGGTGCGCGCAGGCTGTGTAGCTGTCGCCCTCCGACGCATGGGGGGAGCTCGGGCGGCGTATGGCGGGGAGCTCGGCGGCGGCGGCGGCGGCCAGGCTCCTCCTCGCCCCAAGGCTCTCCGGAGGTCCCCAGAGGCCCCCGTGGCCCGAGGGCTCGCACCTTTCAGCGAATGCCGAGGTGGGTCGTATCTGGCCTAACCTGGCCTGGAAGTGGCTTGCACGAGGCTCAGAAGGGGGTTACTCTACAGATAATACACAGATGCTCCGCTGAATGGATGGATCCCACTCGGCCCAGATCGTGACCCCCCGGGACAACTCGGGGCATTCGTAACCGTTTTGTGCAGTAGGGTAGGCTGGGTCTAACCCATTCTGGCATCCACGCAGAACTCCTCTGTCCCTATCCCCTCAATGCCCCCCGCGCCGTTCCCCGCTGACCACTCCCCGAGGCCCGAAAGAGGCCGAAGGCGCAAAAACAGCCTCCAACCGCCAGGGCTCACTGGGGCTCGAAGACAAATGATTAGAATACCGACGAAGACGATGATGATGACGACGGACAACGACGACGACGACGACGACGGAAGACAACCGACGACGTCGGCAACGACGGCGGCGGCGACGGCGGGCAACGAAGGCGGCGAAAGACGACCTACGACGACGACCTATGACGACCTACGACGACGACGACGACGACGACGACGACGACGACGACGACGACGACGACGACGACGACGACGACGACGACGGCGGCGGCGGCGGCGGCGGCGGCGGCGGCGGCGGCGAGGACGTTGGCGACAGGGCCGCGGCGCGGGCCCCCGCCTCGCCAGCTGCGCAGCCCACAGGACCACCGTGACTGCGAAGGCGACCAGCAGCAGCTCGTAGAACTGCTTCTGGGCGGCGCCAACGACGACGCCGACGCCGACGCCGGCGACGATAGGGAGGGCAGCGCAGGGGCTGCCGTGGACTTCTTGCTGGGGCGGGGGCACACAAGTCAGGCAGAGGGCCAAACGTCGAGTGAGAGAAGGGAAAGACGTGGAGGGAAGGATGAGGAGCAGGAGGAGGAGGAGGAGGAGGAGGAGGAGGAGGAGGAGGCGAGGATGATGATGAGGAGGAGCAGGAGGAGCGTAGAGAGGAGGGCCGTCTCTCCCATCCTACCCGCGGGTGGCACGCGCCGTGGGCTCGGATTGGTCGCTAATCTCTCCCTCGCGGACGGCCGACAACGACCAGCAAGAAGTCGGAGAAGGTGAAGAGGGCACTGGCTCGCGCCGGGGCGAACATTGGCCAGCCTCCATCTGTGATGGCATTGACACGTGTGGAGGACAGGACGCCGTCCTCTGAGGATCACAACGTGTAATCTGAGCAGCAGACGATCGCACCCACGGTCTCGCAAGTGTAGACATGGAGGTCGAAGAAGAAGAAGAAGAAGAAGAAGAAGAAGCATCGCGAGACGGACGCGTAGCGAAGATCGAAGAAACAACAACTCGCCGAAGAGGAACAAAACGTGTAAGCTCACCCCCTGGATCAGTTAGCTCACCCCCACCCTCATGCAATACAAATGCCCTGGATGTTGATTTCAACGGCCCGTGAGACGGTCGCGGAACGAAGATCGAAGACCCGGCAGCTCGCCGAAGAGTGATGTTAGCTTAACCGCTTGATGAGTTAGCTCACCCCCGCCATCATGCAGTGCACATGCCCTGGATGTTGATGCCAATGGCTTATTGTCGTTGCATCCCCTGGATCTTGATTACAACGGTCCAATCTTCGTTGCGTGCTCTATCGACACCGCGCTCTGTGGATTTCGCAGGTCAGCGGCCTCAGAATCTGTGGCATCATACCACAGCAACCGTCGGGGAGAGGAGGGCTCGATTCTATGGGCTGGAGATTGGATAGGCTAGAGCTTATAGGAAAGGGAGGAGAGCGAGTCTCCACCTGGGAAAACGCAGACGCTGCCACCCTCACAGTCGCAGCAATCCTCGAGGTCGACATCTGCGATTCACACGTTGGAACCGATGACGACAACGCAATCGGAATGCTGGGAGCCGCTGCGCCTGACCCCGCAGAGCATGACGTCGGCGAGGAGGAAGACGACGGTGCACCCGCCGAGGAAGCGGGCGCCGAAGTCCAGTCGACCATGTAAAAGAGCCTCCAGCGGGCCCACGCGCTCAGGAGTGGCCACCAGCGTCGACGGGGTCGACGGCGAGGGGCGCAGCTGCTGCGCTTCAAGGGTCTGGGCGCCAGAACCACCATCGCGAGACTCGAGTCGCTGGCCGCGTCGCCGTCGCTGTCCTCGTCGGGGTCGGGCCACAGACGAAGGGTGAGACATGGCGATGGTGCGCAAGGAAAGACCCTAGCAAGCACGCCAACCATCTCTCTCCGCGATGAGGACAGTATCGAAGCTAGGATCTGAGAGCTCGGCGCCGCCAGCAGCTGAGAGCGCGCTGGGCGAAGACGGCGCGCGCGGCGTCCTCGAAGACGAGATCGCCAGCGCCAGAGCCGACGAGGGAAAAGAAGAAGACGTCGAACCATCGTCGGCAACAACGCCTGCTGCGATGTCAGCAGCAGCCAGCGCCTCCCGCTCAGGAGCCGTCAGCTTCGAATGCCGCGCAAACTGCACATCGCGGACACCGGCCAGAGAACGGCTGGCAGTGTCGACGGGGGACAGAGGCCAGTCCGCGCGCATCTTGGCCGTGTGGTGCATGCTGTAGGCACAATTATATAAGGAAACGAACTCTATACGCTGACGCTTTTCCCGACCCTGCGCTGAAATTCGCACAGGAGCGCGGATTCTGGTGTATACGGGATCCTGGTGCATACATGTTTCGTTGTTTTCCCAGGACATCGGGGAACAGAAATATACACCACACCACCCCAGCGTCGTCCCCGACTCTCGAAAAATCCTGGGATTCAGAAAACAGCCCGCCACTGGTAATGTATACGTGCCAGCTTCTGAAACAAAAATCACATAAAAGACAGCCCCCATCGACGGCGGCTGCAGAGTGCATGCTGCAGGCAAAAATCATGTAGCAGACAGCCACACAGGGCTCCTCCTCCTTCTCCTTCTCGCCTCCTCCTCCTCTCCTTTTTGTCCTCCTCCTCCTCCTCCTCCTCCTGTAGGAGACAGCATAAATCATGTAGGAGACCACAGCAATCATCGACGGCGGCTGGAAGGACCAGCGTGCCACCGCGGGCAGCGGGCAAGGCCTGGCCGGGGAGGCGCCGGGTGCAGCGCAGCCGAGGGCGCCAGCCCGCCGGCCAGGCGGGTGGCTGCTGCGCGAGGAGGTCATCCAGGCGTCCGTCCTCCCTCCCTCCCTCCCTCCCTCCTCCTCCTCCTCCTCCTCCCTCCTCCTCTCCTCCTCCTCCTCCTCCTCCTCCTTCCTCCTCCTCCTCCTCTCCTCCTCCTCCTCCTCCTCCCTCCTCCTCCTCCCTCCTCCTCCTCCTCCTCCTCCCCCTCCTCCCTCCTCCTCCTCCCTCCTCCCCCTCCTCCTCCTCTCCTCCTCCCTCCTCCTCTCCTCCTCCTCCTCCTCCTCCTCCTCCTCCCCCTCCTCCGTGGAAGACCCCCCCCAGGTGCGAAGAGAGGCCCACGCCCACTGGAGGCCTCCCAGATTGGGTCGGAGCTGCTGGGGTCGGAGGATCGGGCCGCATCGCCGATGCATCGGCGATGCACCCGCGACGCACTGTCGACGTCGGCGGTGCATCGGCGACGTCGACGTGAAGCAAATCGGGCTCCACATCGAGCCTCATCGGCGATGCATCGGCGATGCGGCGCGATCCTCCGACCCCGTCTGCTCCGACGACATCTGGGAGGCCACGACCCAAGAGCCTGGGCACATCGCTTCAGAAGGATTGCCACGGCGCCCCAGTCGATGGCCTCGATCGCAGCGCGATGGCCAGGCAGCGGCTCACGCGAGCGCAGGCGTGGCAGCGCTTTCGGCGGGCCCTGCTTCACAGCCGGGGAGCGCACCGCTGGGTGAGCTGCGCTTTGGGGCCGAGCGCGCCCGCGTGGAGGGGTGGCCAGCGCGGCGACCGCCGCCTCGTGGGCAGGGGCAATCTCGGGCGCAACCTGGCCGGGCGATGGGGCAGCAGCGGCGACAGCAGCCAGGGTTTCGAGCATGGCGGGGGTCTTGCAGAAGGATGGGTAGGGGTTGCCCGAGGGGAGCAGACCAAGATCGGGTCGGGCGAAAGGGGGGGATAGCAAAGGGGGGGTTTGAGAATCAGCTCACGTAGCTGATTTTCCCGGCGCCTCCCGGCGCCGGAGGCGGCTATGTATCGAGGAATGGGCCCCTCGGTGAAGCCGAAACCAGCTGCATGCAGCAAATTCCGTAACCCCCCCTTTCCCAATCCCCCCCTTTCGCCCGGCCCGACAAGAGTGCGCCATTCAGGATGACGCAGAGCATGGTCGCGAAGTTCAGCGAGCACCCGCGCGCGCTGCGGGAAGGCCAGCAACGCCGCGAGCATCGCGGGCGCCACATTCAGGTGAGCCCGCCGAACCACGCGCGGCCCACTCCAAACTGAGTCCAAAAATTGAGTGCGTGCGCGCCGGGGGGGGGGCACGGAAGACCTGTGCCTGACAGACCGTTCGAGCCGAAGCAGCTCCGGAGGTAGCCAACAGCCTTGGGCAGTGTAGGACGTCGTGCCGACCGCCCTCGCATTGTAGAGAATCGACGACGCGCTAGCGGGCGTCGCGCCGTGCCCGCGGCAACGGGCCGCAGTCCGATCTTCGCGACAGGGTCGACCCAGCTCCGCTCGGCGGTGACGGCGGGGCCTCACCAGAGGCCCAGGTAGAGCAACTCGGGGGCCACCTCGAACGTGCCCCAGGACGGCGCGGCGTTAGCAGGGGCGGCCTGCGCGCGGCCGTGGAGCAACCCAGTGAACGGGCCAGAGAGATGGGCGATCTTGCACTTGGCAATCTTGAGAAGCAAATCGGCCACGGCACCGGCAGCGCACATGCCGCGACACGCGTGCGCAATTTGACGCAAAACAGCAAGGGCACCTTCCATGTCGCCCGTGCGGGCCCGAGCCGGGCCGCGCCTCCGAGTCTCGACGCAGTCCGCGAGGCCCCGCGGGAACATCGCGCTGCTGAAGGCGCAGGAGGCGGCCCGGCAGCGCGCGCCCCAGGATTGTGCCGCCCCAGACCCGGTGCAGCCTCGCGGAGCTTCCCCGGAGGCCGGCGAGGCCCCCGAACTCAGCGTTGAGGGAGAGGAGGAAGTCCTGGAAGGCGAGCGGGGGCACCAGGACCTGGTCCACGAACGCGAGGAACTGCTGATTCAACGACGGGAGCGCCTGGGCGAAGCCCGAGGAGAACACGGCGGAGAGGTCCGACGGCATGCGCGGGGTGACGGACAGCGCCCTCTCCGACGGCATGCGCGGGGTGACGGACGGCATGCGCGGGGTGACGGACCGCCGAGCCCGAGGTTGCGCTTCGGCACAAACCAGGGCGGGGCCGCAGCGTCCAACGCAGGACGAATCGAAACATTGACCGCCGCCGAGAGGAACTTGTTGCCCGAGTTTCGGAGCCCCGGAGCCCCGCTTTCTCAGGGTGCCTTGTGCAAGATTTCGGAATCGAGAGCCGCCCTCGGAAGGGAAGCCTGGGTCGTCGCACTCGCGCTGTCGAAGAACGACTGGCCCGAGAAGGGCCAATCGAGCGCATTCATCGAGATGGGCTCACCGTGCTGATTGGCCTGCCACGCGGCGTAGGGTAAGCCGTCGACCCCAGAGGCCGAATCCCGAGCACGTCGGAGGACGCGGCGGAGAGCGCGAAGGGTAGTTGGAGGAAGATGGACATCAGCGGCAGACGGCAGTCAGCGACGAGCGCAATCCGCGGCGGCAACAGACTCCCAACTTCTGCGAGCGCAGACGGGCTCTCAGCGGGATCCGAGGCGGCTCCATCGCACGAGTCCCTGACTGACTCTGGAAAAAGGCCGGCGCTTGCCGATAGAAGACCGGAGACGATCGCGCCGCTCGAGAGCGCGCAGTTGTTGACGAGCTTGGATCGTAGAACCCTCAGCCTCCTGCCTGGTTCACAACTCGGACCGCCCAAGCTCGACGGCCTCCGGCTGGGCGCGGCGCGAGCACTGCTGGAACGTCGGCGGGTGGACGCCTCCGCCTCCTCCTCCCCCTCCTCCTCCTCCTCATCCTCCTCCTCCTCCTCATCCTCCTCCTGTTCGTCCTCCGCCTCCTCCTCCTCTTCTTCCTCCTTCTCCTCCTCTTCCGCTTCCGCCTCCGCCGCGGCTTCCGCCTCGGCGAGACAAGGGTGCCTTGAATCTCTAAGATGTCCTCGACCAAAAGATGCGACCCAAGGGGACGGTCGGCGAGCCTAACATCTTGCCGCCAGTCCGCTCGACAGATCCACCTCGAGACCTGCGGCACAGGAGTCCTGGGGTGCGTGGGCTGAGACCTGAAGAGGAGGTCCCGCGTCTCCAGGCCAACGGTTCGCAACAATTACCTGTAATGCTCTAGCTGGAATGGTGTGGCGACATCGTGGCCCGCTGGGTCTCGTCGATCAACCCTTGGAGCCGTCCTGGCACGCGCGTTTGGGCGCGAGTCGCTGCTCAGGTGGACGACCGGAACGGGAGACGAGGGAGGTGACGAGCGCAGCATGATCCGAATTGCTTCTGTCCGAGATCGCCGCGGGTGAACCCGCGGTCGTCGTGAGCACGAAGTGCTGGCAGGCCTGCCAGCTGGGCATCGAGCAGAAGACCCGATCTATGATCGAGGCGCTGTTGCACTGGAGGTCGCAAAGCGTGCCCTGGTCCCCCTCCAGCTCGAGCATCCGCAACAACGCGCGACGCCACGCTGGTGTGCGCCCATGATGTCGGCGAGCCGAACGCTTCGCCGCCGCCGACGGCGAGTGCAGCACCCGAGCCTCCTCGGCGGAGAGGCTGAAATCCCCGCTGGCCAGTGCAAACACTCGGTCGGGAGCCTCCTTGGCCAACGCCAAGGAGCGGAGGATGTTAGTGGTGACATCATGCACAGCGTTCGGGGACAGCTCGTTGTTGTGTACGTTGTAAGCGATTCGCGTCGCCTGATCAGGGAAAGCAAGATCCTTCAGCACACGCTCTTCCACCAGAACCTCTGGGTCCACGACGACGGGGGGCATATTCTATTCGGCAAGGGCAGGAACCGAAATTGCAACTCCACCTGCGATCTTCGACTCCACGTAACTGATGAAGATCTGAATGGCAGGGTTGATGAAGTGAACGAACGCCTCTGGCTGGATGGCATCCGGGCGGATTTCCTGCAACGATGCTATGTGATCGCCAAGCTTCAGCTGTGCCATGTAGCCCCTCTTGAGGCTAGTCCTCTCCCCGACAGCCTGCAGCAGGGCACGACACGTCCAGTGTGATGAAAGGAAGAGCGCGGAAGGCGGCGCCCGCACGAGGACGAAGATGCTGGAAGAGTGACAGACGCTAAAAGCACCACTGCTCCTCCGCTTCTGGGACGGTGATGTGACGCGTCGCCCTGGCCAGCACATATTTGCCCATGCTGTTGCCACCGAGGACGAGAAGGAGGAGGAGGAGGAGGAGGAGGCGGCGGAGGAAGAGCAGGAGGGAATATGACCCTCCTCCTCCTCCTGCTCCTCGCTCCTCCGCCTTCCCACTCCTCCAACTCCTGAATGCCGCGGCGCTAATACCGCATACGCACTGCCCTGCCCTCGGGAGAGACGATGCCTTGTAGTACTCGTTGGCCGGGAGGTAGCCGTGCGTGTTCCTGGGAGCCCCTCCTTTGCCCCTCCTTCCTTCTACAATTGTCTCCTCCTGCTCCTCCGCCTCCTCCTCCTTCTCCTCCTCTTCCTCTCTCCCCCAACACTTTCTGCTTCCCTTCCCTCCCTCATCCCACTTTCCCTCCTCCTCCTCCTCCTCCTCCTCTTCCTCCTCCTTTTCCTCCTCCTACCTCTCCTCTTCCTGCTCCTCCTGCTTCTCCTCGTCCTGCTTTTCCTCCTCCTCCTCCTCCTCGTCCTCCTCCTCCTCCTCCTACCTCTCCTCTTCCTGCTCCTCCTGCTTCTCCTCGTCCTGCTTCTCATCCTCCTCCTCCTCCTCCTCCTTCTCCTCGTCCTCCTCCTCCTCCTCGTCGGGACACCGTGGATATTTTTGCGCCCGCCCCCCGAGGTCGCGGTACCGCCGGCCGCCCGAGACTAGCCCCCCAGGGACCTCACACGCAGCGATCGAGGCTGTTCAAACCCTGCTGCGACAAAGGCTACGGCAGAGGAGGAGGGGGAGGAGGAGGAGGAGGAGGAGGAGCAGGAGGAAGAGCAGGAGGAATATGAGGAACAGGAGAAAGAAGAGGAGGAGGAAGAGGGTCTGAGGGTCTGACTAAATGCGAGTCAAACCCGCCTCGCCACTACGGGCGCAAGAGCCCCTGGCGCGCCAGGGCCGCGCCCCGACCCCAGGGGGGTGCCAACCCCCCGCAGGTTCGCATCGGGGCGAAAGAAAACCGAAACAAAACCGAGCCCCCAGCCCCAGGGCGGCCAGAAGGGGAAACCGAAGCCGAACCCCACAGAAGCCGGCACCTTCCCGAGGCCACTCAGGCCTTCCAAGCTTTGGACAAGTGAGGCCACCTGTCCAGAGCTCCACCTTGAGGTATTCGACGCCCTGCTTGTCCAATACGGCGAAGCCGAAGATGACGAGCGGGCAAATTCGCCAAAAACGCCGTAACAAATCGACGGCCTTCACGCCCGACACGGAGGTCAACCAGAAGTCGACGACCCTGCAACCTGGACGTCCCCGATGATCCTCTGGAAAAGCGTCGCGTCGAGCGTGCCAAGCTCCGCCAGCGCCGACGCCTGGCCCAGGATTTCCTCGATGAAGGCCTGCTTCTCTGTGAGGCCCGTGCCGCCCGCAGCCTTGACCTTCGCCTTGGACTGCTCGCCCTGGCCGTTGTCGCCGCCCTGCTTGTCCTTCTTGCCTTTCTTTTTGCGCTTGCCTTTGGTCTGGAAGCCGCCGCCACCAGCCGCGTCGCCCTCACCAGCGATGTCGAGGCCCTCGCCGTCGTCGCCAATGTAGAACTCCTCCAGGCCGCGGCGCTCGTCGACCTCCGCCTCGGAGCCGCCGCTCTTCTCGCCGATGACCAGAGACTCGTCCAGGCTCAATCCCTGCTCAGCTTCAGCGTCTTGTTGCGGCGGTGAGCTTCCCATAGTCGCCGCGCCAGCGCCCGTTTGGCCTTCACTCCAGTGAGCCCGATCACCACGTTGGGGTACTGCTGTGATGTCGCCTCCTGGGCGCGTTGGCGGGCAGACTTGAGTTGGGCTCTCTTCTTCTTCCCAGGCTTCTTCATCCCAGGTTGGCGACGCCGCGCCTTTGGCATCACCTCCAGGGTGGTCGCTGCGTTGGGCCGGCTGCGGGGGTTGGCAATTTTCCCAACCCCCGCCGCGGCCCCGCCCGCCGCGGTGGGCGGGCCACTTGCCGTTGTCGAGCCGGCCCCCACGCGGGGCGAGGCACACGTCGACGTCCAGAGGACCTCGCTCTTGACCTTCACCCAGGTGCCCGTCTCGTCCTTCAGCCAGCCCGCTTTGAGCCGCTCCGCGAAGTAGCGCGCCTTGCCGGAGGGCGCCCGCGGCGGAGAGACGATCTTGCGGTTGTACTTGACCTCCTTCCCCGACGGTTCCACTTTCGTCGGTTCCTGCAGGTCCTTCAGGGTGAGCTTGCCGTGGCCCAGCCCCAGGACCGCGAGGGAAGGCTCCGAGTGGTTCGCCAGGCAGTTGGCCTGCATCTTGCTGTCCAAGAAGCCGTAGCCCACCGACCGAGCGAGCTCCCTCTGCTGCGCCAGGATGCTGGTCCCGCCCATGTGCGGCGCCAGGGGCATCCTCGCCTTGGACGTAGCCATCCGTGCAGATGACGAGGTGCCAGGAAGAGTCCCCGACCTCGCCCTCGATCTTGCGGATGAGGCGGCCGATGTGGGCGCCCGTGTCCTCTTGCTTCACCAGCGAGTCGCCGATGAAGACCTGGATGTTGCGGCTCATCACGCCGCCTGCATGGGCTCGGGGCGGCAGTGCCCCCTTCACGCGCGCCGCCCCAACTGCCCCCCTCGGGCAGGAAAGGGGCTAAGAGGAGGAGGAAGAGGAGGAGGAAGAGGAGGAGGGGAGGAATAGGAGGAGGAGGAGGAGGAGGAGGAGGAGGAGGAGGAGGAGGAGGAGGAGGAGGATGAGGGGGAGGAAGGGTTGGAGGAGGAGGAGGAGGAGGAGGAGGAGGGGGAGGAGGAGGAGGAGGGGGAGGAGGAGGAGTAGGAGGGAGGATGAGGACGAGGAGGAGGAGATGGAGATGGAGAGGGAGGAAGAGGAGGAGGGGGAAGAGGACCGGCCCGCCGAGGGGAGCGCGGTCGTGGCGGCACGACACCCCGCGACCCGCGGACCGACCAGCTCATGTGGCTGGGGGGGCCCGCTTGGCTCTGCGGGCCTGGAGGGGCCTGATGGGCTCTCCAGAGGGCCAAGACTTGGCCGCAGCATTCGGGGACTGGCGGTTCGCCAACGTGCGCAAATGAGGGGCAGGAGGAGGAGGAGGAGGAGGAGGAGGAGGAGGAGGAGGAAAAGGGCGGAGGAGGAGGAGGAGGAGGAGGAGGAAGAGGAGGAGGAAGGGGGGATCCCTTCCTATCATTGGGACTCCATCCCTCAGAGCCCATCTTTTAGCCACCCGAGCCGCCTTCCAACGCTAGCAAGAGCTCTTCGGCCGCCCTGAAAGGCTCGGTGCCGAAGACTGGCCGAGCAACCCCCCTGATCACCGACCGCGCGCTCCACAGCGGCCCGCCCGCCCCGGGACACCACGCTTTGCTCGTGAGCGGCCAGGTCCATCGCGGCCCGCTGCAGGGCCGCTCTCGGCGCGGACGAGCTGCGGGCCGCTGCGCCCCAGGTCTCGCCCTCGTCGTTGGCCACGCGCGACCAAGCGCGGTGCCCGATCCCTGCGATCTTCAGCACGGCGCCGAGGGTGCGCTCGCCGCAGGCGGGCTCGGGCAGGGGTGCGCACGTCATCAGGAGTGGCTGCGCGGGCCACGACCCCAACTCCTCAACCATGTTGACGATCGCACGTGACCATCTCCGTCTCTTGTGCCGGGGCCGACCGTCGTTGCCTTCCGCAGGCCTGCTTCGATAGGGAACTGGAGAGAGCAAGAACGAGGTGCCACCGCGACACAATCCCAATCGGGCATGTTCCAGGAGCATGCTGCGCAGGCCCCAAAAAGTTCTTAGACCATTCCTTGGGTCACGGCTTCGGCGGGTGACCTCTGGAAATCCGTCGGGCCCAGCGCGTCGACCCTGTTGGCTTCGGACCCAGGGAACCGAGGCCAGACGGCGTCCACGCCCTCCCCTGCCAGCGGAAGAAGGCCCTCGCGCAAGGCCTGCTGGCGGAGCACCCCCTGTGGCGGCAAGCGTGTCGTCGTGCTCGGCCGGCCGATCGTTCCAGACTGGGGCCCAGCGCTTGACCTTGTCCGCCACGATCACCTGCGGGTCCGAGATGGATCCTGGTGCTCCGAGCTGTGGAACCTCGAGGGCCTCCGCTGGAGAAGTGTCCTTCGCCTGCCGATGAAAACACCTGAGGTCGCGCGCCCACGTGAATTTCGCCCGGGTAAGGTCGCCCTCGCTCGTGTCTGCCAGTGGCCGAGGGAAAGCCTTGGCGACCCATCCCTCGGTGCGCTCGAAGATCACTTCGATGCGTACCCTCGGCCGTGGCCTCACCAGTGGGCAGAAACACCGCGTCGATCCACTCGTCGATGTCGTCGGCTGTGGCTTTGGTCCCACAGATGTTGGCCCTCGGCTGAGCGAGCCACGACTTGCTCCACCAAAACATGGATGGCGGCGAGGCACCGCCCTTGCCGAGCGAGGCCAGACCAGTTGCGCTTCGAGGACACAAACCTCACCAGGATGGCGTCGAGGTCCGCAGGGTCGCCGTCGGGCCCGTCGACTCGAGCCCGTACATGACCCCTCTGCCGCAGTAGCGCACCCACTCGAGAGCTCACTGAGAGGAAGAAAAGGACGTCCTGCTCACCGCCCTCGCACCGCCGTCGCTTCCCCAGCGGCCCCTGAAGCTAGGAGCCGCGGGCGGGTGCATCCGCATGATCGACGCCCTCGGCCCACCGGACGCCTCTGCGGCACCGAGCGGGGTGGGAGGGTGGTCTAACAACCCTCCTATGTCCGAGCGCCTGGGGGAGCCGCCGACTCCTGCCTCCTCTGCCTTCCCCCTCGATCCTCCTCGGTCGTCCGAGTCCTGCTGCTCCTGCTGCTGCTCCTTGTTCTGCGCCTCGTCGTCGTCCTCGTCCTCCTCCTCGTCCGTCTAGTCGTTGGCACCGTTCTCGTCGTTGTCCTCCTCCTGGAAACTACGCCTGCCCATGGTCGCCCCTGTGCCACTCCTGCGCGTCATCGTCACCTCCCCCTCCTCGTGCTCCTTCTCCCGCCGCTCTCCCTCTCCTACTTCCACATCGTCCTCCTGCTGGGGATCACTCCTCCCACTCGCCCTACCCTCCGTCCCCTCATCATAATCACCACCATCATCAGCATATTATCATCATCAGCATCATCATCAGCAGCAGCATCATCATCATCATCATTATCAGCATCGTCACCATCATCAGCATCATCAGCATCATCATCACAAGCATCATCATCGTCATTACCATCATCATCAACATCAACATCAGCATCAACATCACCGTCAACATCAATAATATCAACATCATCATCATTATCAACATCACCGCCACCGTTATCGTTATCCTCTTCCTCATCCTGGTTATCATCAATATAATGCATATTACTATCATAATCGTCATCATCACCATCATCACATTCTTACTCTTCATCATAATCGCCACCGTACCCGTCATCATCATATTCTTCAAAATCGACATCGACGTCGTCGTCATTATCACCACCACCACCATCATCATCACCATCACAGCCACCACCACCACCACCACCATCATCATCATCATCACCATCACCATCACCATCACCATCATCATCATCACCAGCAACATCATCATCATCATCATCACCAGCACCATCACCATCACCATCATCATCATCACCAGCAACATCATCATCATCATCATCATTATCATCATCATCATCATCATCATCATCATCATCATCATCATCATCAGCATGAATATCCTTATCATCGTCGTCGTCACCGTCACCATCACCAAAACCACCATCACCAACATCAGACTCACCACCATCAACATCATCAGCACCAACAACAACACTACTATCACCACCACCAGTCACCATCATCATCATCATCACCATCATCACCTTCTGGCGTTTTGCTTTGCTTGCTCAATTACAAGCCTCTTGGTCCCCGGTCCTCACGGCATCAGGGGCGATCCCAGCCAGACCTTCCAAACTACCACTTTGAAGCGGAAATCACTCACAATGAATTCATCAAATTAGCTCCTCTCTGTATTGTTCATTATTCGATTCTGCTGGTAAGGGCTTTGCCCTAAGGTTCTTCTTGTGTCGTCGGGCCATTCGCCCTAGACTGGATGTGGCGGCGAGCAGGAGAAGGAGGAGGAGGAGGAGCGTTTCGCTCCCTCACATAATGGGAATGTTGCTTACGACGCCAGTTCTCAAACATGAAGCTTTCGCCTGAGACATCCTCAGCACGTTGACATGTTGAAGATTGGGAGTCGGATGTGCAACATAGTTTGGGGGTGCGTTTCGCCTGAGACATTCTCATAACATGGGGATATCGGAGTAGTTGTCTTACGACGCCCATTAGCAAAAACGAAATGTTCGCCTGGAACATCCTCAGAAACATGAGGCGTTGAAATTCGGGCGACGGATATCCAACATGGTGTGGGTGGGGGGAGTTTCGCCTGAGACATCCTCACAGCAAGAAGATGTTGGAACAATTGTTTTCGAGGTTGGTTCTCCAGAGTGAAGCTGTCGCCGGATACATCCTCAGAAACTTGACATGTTGGAGATCGGGCGTAGGATATCCAACATGGTGCGGACGACAACTTTGCCTGAAACGCTTTGCCTGAGACATCCTAATACCATGGGGATGTTGGAGGAGATGTGAAACGTGAAGCTGTCGCTCGAGACATCTCCAATCAAATAAAATACTGGAGATCGGGCGTCGGATATCAAAAAGGGTGTGTGTGTGGTGTGTGTGCGCGCGCGTGTGTGTGTGTGTGTGTGTGTGTGTGTGTGTGTGTGTGTGTGTGTGTGTGTGTGTGTGTGTGTGTGTGTGTGTGTGGGGGGGGGGGGGGGGGGGGTGTGGGGGGGTGGGGGGTGGGGCGTTTCGCCTGAGACATCCTCACACAATGAAGATGCTGGAGGAGTTGTTTTTCGACGTTGGTTCTCAAGCATAAAGAACTCGCTCGAAGCATCCCACTTAAACTGAAACGTTAGGAATCGGACGGCGGATATCCAACTTCGTGTGGGGATGGAGGGAGGCGGGTCTCCTAAGACGTCCTCACAAAATACAAAACTTTTGGAGATCGGGCGCCCGATATTCAACGTGGTGTGAGGGGGGGGGGGCGTTTCGCCTGAGACATCCTCACACAATGGGGATGTTGTAGACGTTGTTTTGCGACGTTGGTTGCCACAAATGAAGCCTTCGGTTGAGGCATCCTCAGAACATTGAATCGTTGGATATCGGGCGTCAGATATCCAACATAGCGTGGGGAGGCGTTTTGCCTGAGATATCCTTTCACAGCGGGGATGTTTGAGGAGTTGTTTTACGACGTTGGTCATCAAACGTGAAGCTATCGCAGAAAACAGATCTGTTGGAGATCGGGCATAGGATATCTAACATGGTGTGTGGGGAGGGCGTTTCGCCTCAGACATTCAGTTACAATGGGAAATTTGAGGAATTAGATTTACGACGGTTGCCGTTACACATGATGCTTTCAATGAGACGTCCTCAGACACATGGAAACGTAAGCTCGGGCGTTGGACATCGATCTTGGTGATGAGAGGCTTTACGCTGCGGGCATCCTCATAAACACACATGTGCAGTGAACTCCCGAGTTCGACGTGATTTCAAAGCTTGGCTCTCGTCTGAGACATCCGCACACATGGAGGCGTCACCAGAAAAGCCTGACAGCAGATCACTTGACCCCTATTCCTCACTGGGTTCAAGGGCCCCTCGCATTTTCAACATCTTGAGGCACACGTCTCGCTGTGCGGTCCCGCCCCTCCATGGGCCATGAGATGCACCGAACTCTTCAAGGGGGCAACCCTTTCTTTCAACTCCCCAACGCCGCCGTTGGGCTGCCGCCTCTGAAAAAAAAGGCCCACCGGCCCACTGGGCGACCCTGGCAAGAGTGCCCCGAGAACAGCAAACACGCAAATACTTGTCCGACTGTAATGCGAGCGCCCTCCTGCTATCCTCCTCCTCCTCCTCCTCCTCTTCTTTGCCCTCCTCCTTGTCCTCCTAAGCCATTGTGCCATTCCCGCACCGCTTGTCGCTGGGCCGCGCGGCCCGCCGCGGTTCTTGGAGCACCTGGCGCCTGGGCAGCGGGAGCTGCAGAATGCGCTGGCTGCCGCGCGTGGCGCGGCGCTGGCGTCCCACGCGGTCTCGGGCCTCGTGCGGAGCGCAGCGGCGGCGTGCCGCTTGCTGCGCACGGCCGAAGGCCTGTGCCGCGCTGCTGTGGCGGAGCTGGAGGCGCGCAAGCCTCGGCAGCCCGCCGCGGCGGCAGCTGCACGCGATGCGATGGTGGAGGAGCTGCGGAGCCGCCTGCTGCTCCCGCGGCGCCTGCGGCGCCTGGCGGTGCGCCGCCACGGCGGAAACGGCGTCGGGCTCGGCGTGGACGCTGTGCTGGTGGATCGCAGGACATGCACGTAGACGGCCTCGCCACCGGGGCGATGGACGACGACGGTGGCGGCGGCGCGGAGATCGAGGACGACGGCTGGGCCGACCGCGCGGTGCGGCCCACGCCCTCGGCCTCGGTGGCGGCGCCTGCACCGTCGAACGTGCCGGGGGCGGAGATGGCGGTGGCGTGTGCGCAAGCGCCTGCTGCCGCGGCGCCTGCTCGTGGTGCTGCTGGAGCGGTACTCGCTGCTGTTCCTCCCGCTGGTCGTCTTCCTTTGGGTGGCTCGAGATCCTCACAATGCGGGGGCCCTCCCGAAAGAGGGGGCAGACAAGTTGCTTTCTGGTCGGCATCCCTCGGATCGAAGACGGGAGGCGGCCTTGCTCGAGGGCCCACAACGGTGCGACACCGCCACTATTCAGGCTGCGCACAGGAGCAGCGCAGGCGCGCCAAGGAGCGACGCCCGACCCCACCCGCACCTCCCTCGCCTGCATCCCGCTCTGCTCCGAGCCCGAGGCCCGTTTTGCCAGGTGGTAGGAGCCCGCGAGCGGTTGCCCAGGCGTCGAGGGGTGGCGCGGGCGTGAGCCCGCGTAGGGGCTCAGATAGTTCAGACCAGTGTTAGGTCGGGCCTGTCACCCTACAGCCCTATTCTGGACGAAAAATAACAATACTCCAACCATGTTGAAAATATGCCCAAACATATTGTTTAAAAACAAACAAAAATCCCCCGACTATTTTTCACAATCTTGATTCCAGGAGGGGCGTCTGGCGGGGGTGTCGGAGACAGCTGATCGTTTTCCAAGCAAGAGGGTGTTGGACACTGCCAGCTCGGTCTTGACATGCAAAATGCGTGTCGCAAAACGCCCTGCGCACGCAGGTCAAGCCACCATATTATGCGAACTGAAATGCACTCCCACAGGAAGACCCATAAGAGGGATGCGAGCGGGTGGCGGTGGGGACAGGGCGGCAGACATAACGAAATAAACACGAGAGTGGCATCTCAAAGCCGCTTCGGGCGGACAGCTGCTTCAACCGATGGAGAGCAAGCTGAATTTTGCCTGGCTCATCCCAACGACAAACCGAATCAAAACAGTTTACGCTGACATGCGACTGACTCTCACTCAATGTGCGGCGCCCCTTGGCGCCACACTCAGAGACCAACACTGCAGCGCAGCTTCCTCCGACATCCCCGGCTTCACCAGTGCGCCCGCCCTAGCGCGAGGGGCCCCCCTCAGGACGGAAGGGCCCCGAAAGAACACGGCCTTGATGTGGATGGCCGCGGGCCTCTCACCGTCGTAGATCAGGCGGGCGCAGATGCCCGACTTCACCTCGATCGGCAGCGGCCACTTGCTGGTAGGCGGACGTCGCTTTCGGCATCCTTTGAGCGCCCGTTAGGGTCGAGGGTAATGCCGTGCCTCTGCCGAGAGCGTGCTGTGCAGCAGGCCGCGCCCCGTCTTCTCGGCGTGCGTGAGCTTCGCGTTGACGGCTAGTAGTTCTTTCAGGTCGTCGAGCAGGCCCACCTCGATCGCGTCGAGGTCGTCGGTGGTTCTGCCACGGCGACGCTGCCACTCGCGGAACATGTTCTCGAAGTGCTGGTAGGCGGCCGAGCCCTTGGCGCCGACCGTCGCGGGCTCGCAGGCGCCGAGCTCCCCGCCCGCGGCTTGCCGCCCAAGACTCGGGGGCGGCGGCCGCGTGGCAGGAGAGGGGGCCTCGGCGGGCCTCCGCCGAGTGGCGCCCTGCCGACGGCCGAGACCGCTGGCGGGGCGGCCCGCGCGCCCGCCCTCCTGTCGGATTCCAGCGGCTCCGCAGGAAGTCGATGGCTCGGCGGCTGCGTGGCGGCCCGTCAAGCTCTGCTCCCACCGCAGGCACCTCGTGCAGCGTCGCCCGCGCCTCCTTGAGCTTCTCGAAGAGGCGGGGCGGCTCGTCGGCGGGGTTGTATTCGCTTGGAATCCAGCGGGGCGCCACCCATGCGCCCGTGGCAATCGAGAGGGCAGCAAGGCGGCGGACCAGTAGCAGGAACCCGAAGGAGGCCGCGCGCCCCCTTGAGAAACAAAGGGCTACGCCGAAGTTGTCGACAAGGACGATGTGCCTCTTGTGGTGCTGGCAGGGGTCCAGGAGTTTGAGACTCATACCTTTGATGACGGCCCTACCCTCCTTGTTACCGGCCGGCCCCTCACACCTGTACCTCCCCGCCCTCCAGCACTTCCAGGGGCGCCCCAGGATCGCGGCCTTCGGAATCTCGGGGAAGCCCGCTCGAGGCCGCCAGGCGAACTCCGAGGGGGCCCCGCCGAGCACGTCGAGGTCCCAAGGGCCCGCGTCGGACGTCGCAGGGTCGACGAGGGGGTCGAGCTCGGCCGCCAGCGCGCGCCGACGAGGCGCCCACTCCGACGGGGGCAGACGCTCGTACCTCCAGCGCTCGTTCCACCTCCCGATCTTCTTCACCTCCTCACTGTCGAAGCCAGCCTCCATCGCGCCCCGCCCGCTCCCCGAGGCGTCTGTCGCCAGCGCAGAAGTGGGCCGGGGACGTCCAAAGTTGCCCGAGAGCAGGGGGGCCAGGCTGGAGCAGACCAGGAGCTCGCGGCAGACAGAGTCCCACAGGGGCCTCGGGGTCCAGTAACAGTCCCGAATGAAGACGTAGGAGGCCCGCAAAACCGACAGCGCAGGCCGCTGGTTGACGGCCTTGACGACGTAGTGGCCCAGGAGGCGCTCCAGAGTCTTCCCAGAGATCGACCCACCTCGAGCGGCATGCCGAAGAGCTCCCCGAAGGGTCCAGGCCCGCTTGGGCCTCGCACGGACCGCCCGTCGCACCCCGTCAAAGGCGGCACCCAGGATATCCGAAGATGTTGAGGCCCAGGGGATCTCGTGAAGCACGAAGCCCTTCCCCTCGAACACCCCGGTGAGCTCACGAAATCGCTGGTTGACGCGCCCCCTGGACATCCCGAAGACAGTGAGGTTGTCGCAGTAGGGTAGGGCAACTGGATCGTCGGTTGATGGAGGGACGGGCCAAGCATTCGACATTATCAACTCCTGGCCGAACCCAGCCTCACGGAGCAACTCGGCATGCAGAGCCTGAACGATGTAGAGAGACCAGGCCCACCCCCATCGGCAGCACAAGCAAGCACGGGAAGACCTCCCCGACATCTGGCAATGACAACCCCCGCACGTCCGAAGTCGCCCCCACTTTCTTTGCAAGGCTAGCGTCCACGGCTTCGAAGCTGAAGCATTCGCTCAGCGCAGACGGTACCCCACACTGGTAGAAACAATTCTGTATACCGCCCGTGGCGACGAAGACAGGCTTAGGGGGGTGACGGAACATCTGGTTGACCCCTCGGCAGTCCAGGACGAACCGTTGACGGCCCTGCTTCTTTTCCACGAAGAAAAATATAATCTTGCCCTTCGAGGCCCCGCTGAACCCCAAGATCCCACAGTCGTACAGGCCCCTGAGGAACTTGAGACGAGCATCTTCATCACCTCTGATTCTGACATCCGTGTAGGACCCGACGGGCTCGTGGCGAAGACGCTGCTCGGCCACGTCAGCATCGGCCAAGAAGGTGTCAAGGTCGAGGCTACGGCCGAGCTCGGGGGAGACAAAATCAGTCAAGACGACGGGCGACACCTGCCCCTCTGGCAGGGGCGCCTTCGTCGGGTCATACGGCTCAACCGCGCGCGCAAGCATCTCGCAATCCGCATTCACTCCAGCCAACCCACGAAAAGAGGCGCGGTCACTTTGTACACGGTCGGGCATGCCCGAAGCGATGGTGGAGAACAGGTGCTGGTGAATCGCACTATGCAAGGGACTGCAGCCGCCCACAGCCTCAGCCCCGTCACGCTGCGTCGGCGCCAGCAGCTCCTGCGGGTCGCACCCGAAGAGCAAGTTCAGGCCGTCGACCGCCTCCTGCGCCGCCGACTGGACGGCGTTCCAGCGCTTGAGGCGCAGCAGGGCCTTCCTCCCCGCACCGGCACCAGGGGGCCGAGCACAGGGAACGTCAGGAAGGGGAAAGAGACCGCGGCCACACCGATCCCCTGCTGCTTCTTGCCGTCGGCGAGGCCAGGCCTCAGGGCGACGCGCTCCAAAATTGCGGTCGGAGGAGACCCCCTCAGACCTCACGGCAACCATTACGCATTACGTCAGAGACGGCGACGGCTACTGGCAACGCCGCCCCCGCTCCCTTCTTGATTTCTTGGAGGAGGCCGAGGGGTCCGCCTTGGCCGTCCCGACCGTGACGCCTGCTCCCCTGGCCTCCGGTGCCTTCCGCTTCTCCTTCAGAATCACTGCCTCTTCGCTGAGCTCGGTTGCGGCGTGAGCCCAGAGCGAAGGCACCGTCGGGGCCCCTCCCGAACGCTCGTTGATCCCTAGGTAGTAGTCCGACCCCTCGTAGTCCTGTGCCTCGAGATTCTCTGCCGCGGCCCCCCCGTGCTCGGGGATCCGCCTCAGGGGGAGCTCGCCATCGATAAAGTTCTTCATGTTGAGCCCGTCCACCGCCGCCAAAAGCAGCACCGCCCCGCGGAAGACCACGTCCTCCTCCCACGGGCACGCCGTCATCGGGCGCGCGGCGCCGGCCAGGGTCCGCTCCGTCGGGGGCCGCGCCAGGGTCCTCGGGCCACCGCAGAGAGAGTTGCTCTGCGCCAGGCCCCAGCGAGCGAGGTCAGCCCCCGCGCCCAGCTGCTCGAGCACGGCGGCGCCCCCGTCGATCACCACGAGGCCGCGGGCCCCCAGCCCCGCAGCCCCCGCAGGCAGCGTGGACTCCTCGCCGATGTCGTGGCCCCCGAGCGGCTCCGCGACGACCCACGCCCCGCCTGTCGGGGCGAGACGGGGGGCCCCAGGCGCAGGGCCCATGGCGGGCACGGGCGTCCCCACCACGGCGACGGCTACTGGTGCTCGGGCCGCCTCGCCCACCAGCGGAAACCCGCGGTGAGCCCGTTCCAGGTTGCTCACCTGGTCCGCCTCTGCTGGCAGCTCGTTGACCCTGGCGGGCATGAGCGTCGCGAAGGTGTAGAGCACACTGCCAAGAGCGGGGCCCCTCGCGACCACACGTCGACCGAACGCGAGAAGCGGATCCCCTCCAAGCCGCCGTTGTTGGGGCTCAGCTCCCCCTCGTAGACGTCGAAGTCGGGCGACACGGCCGCGAGCTCACCGCACTCGACGAGGGAGCCGACGAGCCTCACGTCTAGTCCGCCAGCGCCGTAGCGCGCCCCAGTGGGCGATCCACGACCTGGCACGGCAGAGACTGCGAACGAGACCGCGTCGCCCCAGTGGAAGTCGACCTTGGCCGCCTCCAGCTCCGCGCTCTGCTCCTGGGCCAGCGCGGGGGTGGGTGGCACCGCGGCCGCAGGGCAGCCCCGCGCGGGCGGGGCGGGCACCCGCGCCCCCACAGACGACGGCGGGGGCGGGCCTCGCTGCACACGGGCGACCGCCCCCAGCTGCCTGGTCCAGGCCGAGCCAACGTGGAAAACCAGGAATACCACACCCTGGGCCGCCGCGCGCATCCACTGCCTTGGAGGCCGCGAAGGTCGGTGGCTCAGCCAAAACGACTTGCGCCAGGAAGGACTACAGAGAAGAAACACACCCTCACGACGCTCAGCCCCCTGAGGAGTCCACCACCAGCACGCGGTTATATGGACTATTCCCCCTGTAGAGGGACACGCCCGACTTGAGACCAGTGCCACGGGGCTATGTGCCGTCAGTGGCGCTTGCCTTTTTCACTTTCAGGCCCACCCCGTGCAGCTCGTCTGCGCTGGGGCTTGGCCTCGTCCCGCCTCGGCGGCCCCTGCGCTGCTCAGACGGCAGCGGCGCGGCGGCGATGCCCGTGGCCGATGCGCCCGGCGAGGAGCCTGCTTCCGACGCCCTCGTGGCGAACAGGGAACGGATGCTGGCCGAGGCGCGCGCCAGGATCGCGGCGACGAAGGGCGTGGGCTCCTGACGCTCGTGGACGCAAGTTCGCGTCCGTAGAGGCGGTCGGGGGCCTGGGATGGGGTAGGCCTCCCGCGTTGGCGGTGGAGCGGTCCCATGCCTCCGTGCAACTTCTTATCCAGCCGTTCAAGCCACGTCAGGCTGCTTGCTCGTCTGCTGTTTCTAGAAAAAGCTCCTTGTCCTCCTCCTTGTCCTCCTCCTCCTCCTCCTCCTCCTCATCCTCCTCCTCCTCCTCCTCCTCCTCCTCCTCCTCCTCGTATTCCACAACGGCTGCTCAGAAATGCGAGGAACCCTCAAGCGAACATGGCCGGACCTTCTCGCACGCAGCATCTTGATGCCCAGATTTGCGGGGATGTCGTCTCAAGCGGAACCGGCTGGATCGCCTCGTGCGCGGCATCTTCAGACCCAGAAAAACGAGAATGTCTCAGGCCACCAGGCCAGAGGACCTCAGGTCACGGCATCTCCGAATCGAAGGATGCTTGGATGCTTCAGGCCAACGGGCAGGACCATCTCTGGCAGCGTCTGGGAGCCCAGAGTTGCGAGGATGTCTTGCGCGAGATGGGTCGTTTCGGAACACAGCCTTGAGAGGATGCCACACCACCTGAGCATGTCCAAAATGTCTTGACGCGCGGAACACTCGGGCGGTACTCGTTCGTACCACAACAATGCCCCCTGGCAACAGCCAGGAAACTCGGGGATACTCCACAAGATAACCTTTATGACGGCGGCCAACGAGAACCTCCAATCTTCAATATCGCCATCATTCATTCTGATCATCATCCACATAATCGTTCACCATCATCGTACTCACCATTCAATCATCCGCACCACCACCACCACCAACAACAACACCAACACATTCGTCATCAACAACATCGATATCAGCATCAGTATCAGCATCATAATTACCACAAGCACCACCACCCGAACATTACCACCACCACCATCACCATCATCATCATGATCATCATCATCATCATCGTCATCATCATCATCATCATCATCATCATCATCAGCACCGTCACCATCATCATCACCATCATGATCACATGATCATCATCATCATCACCACCACCACGATCATCATCACCATAACCTTCACTATCACCATCATCATCGTCGTCAGCATCATCGTCATCATCATCACCGTCACCTCTCACCAATAAAGCTCTTCCTCCTTTTCCTTCTCCTCCTTCTCATCGTCATCGTCTTCGCCGTCGTCGTTACCCTCCTACTAATCATCCTTCTCAACGTGGGGGGAGAGACGATGACAACGAGGACGACGACGACGACGAGCCCCGCGGATCGGGGCTCAGTGCGGCTCCTGAGCTCGACCTCGCCAGAGATCTTCTGGTCCATGCACGTGCCACAGTTCGAGAGCACCTGCAGCGACTACATCCTCCTCTCCGTCGTCGTCGTCGTCGTCGTCGTCGTCGTCGTCGTCGTCGTCGTCGTCGTCGTCGTCTCGTCGTCGTTGTCGTCGTCGTCGTCGTCCTTGCGGTAGTTATGGTCGTCGTCGACGTTGTTGTCCGCCTCACCCGCCATGCTCTTTCCTCCGCGCCCTGCTGCTGCACGTCCTCCCCCCGAGGTCCCCGGTTTTCCCCAGAGGTCCAGGAGGAGGAGGAGGAGGAGGAGGAGGAGGAGGAGGAGGAGGAGGAGGAGGAAAAGGGGGAGGAAAAGGAGGAGGAGGAGGAGGAGGAGGGGAGGAGGAGGAGGGGGAGGAGGGGAGGAGGAGGAGGAGGAGGTTTCCCCGAGGCCAAATCTCTGGATCCCCATCCTCCCGTGGACCTGTCCAGGGGCGCGCTCGGCCGCGGCGGCGAGGACGCCCCGGGACCCACGACGGATGCAGCAGGCGCCGATGCTCCCCGAACGTCCTCACCCTCGTCCTCGATCCTCCTGCTTTGGGCGCCCGAGCTATCCAGGGTAACTCGGGTCCAGGGTAAGTCGGGTTTGGACTCCCGAAAAAAGGAACCCGAGTTAGCCCTGACCCGAGTTACCCCTGATGATTCGGGGCTCTGGACGCCCGAGTTATCCGGGTTAACTCGGGTCCGGGGTAAGTCGGGTTTGGACTCCCGAAAAAAGGAACCCGAGTTAGCCCTGACCCGAGTTACCCCTGATGATTCGGGGCTCTGGACGCCCGGGTTATCCGGGGTAACTCGGGTCCGGGGTAAGTCGGGTTTGGACTCCCGAGAAAAGGAACCCGAGTTAGCCCTGACCCGAGTTACCCCTGATGATTTCGGGGCTCTGGACGCCCGAGTTATCCGGGGTAACTCGGGTCGGGGTAACTCGGGTTTGGATTCCGAAAAGGAACCCGAGTTTGCCCTGATCCGAATACCCGATGATCGGGCTCTGGACGCCCGAGTTATCCGGGGTAACTCGGGTCGGGGTAAGTCGGGTTGGACTCCCGAAAAAGGAACCCGAGTTTGCCCTGACCGAATTACCCCGATGATCGGGGCTCTGGACGCCCGAGTTATCCGGGGTAACTCGGGTCCGGGGTAACTCGGGTTTGGATTCCCGAAAAAAGGAACCCGAGTTATCCCTGACCCGAGTTACCCCTGATGATTCGGGGCTCTGGACGCCCGAGTTATCCGGGGTAACTCGGGTCCGGGGTAAGTCGGGTTTGGACTCCCGAAAAAAGAGCCCGAGTTAGCCCTGACCCGAGTTACCCCTGATGATTCGGGGCTCTGGACGCCCGAGTTATCCGGGGTAACTCGGGTCCGGGGTAAGTCGGGTTTGGACTCCCGAAAAAGGAACCCGAGTTAGCCCTGACCCGAATTACCCCTGATGATACGGGGCTCTGGACGCCGGTAGTTATCCGGGTAACTCTGGGTCGGGTAAGTCGGTTTTGGACTCCGAAAAAGGAACCAGGAGTAGCCTGACCCGAGTACCCCTGATGATTCGGGGCTCCTCTGGACGCCCGAGTTATCCGGGGTAACTCGGGTCCGGGGTAACTCGGGTTTGGACTCCCGAAAAACGAACCCGAGTTAGCACTGACCCGAGTTACACCTGATGATTCGGGGCTCTGGACGCCCAAGTTATCCGGGGTAACTCGGGTCCGGGGTAACTCGGGTTTGGACTCCCGAAAAACAAACCCGAGTTAGCCCTGACCCGAGTTACCCCTGATGATTCGGGGCTCTGGACGGCCGAGTTATCCGGGGTAACTCGGGTCCGGGGTAACTCGGGTTGGACTCCGAAAAAAAAGGAACCCGACTTAGCCCGACCGAGTTAACCCTGATGATCGGGGGCTCTGGACGCCCGAAAA